TGTGGGAACAAAAGACCACCAGCACTGAGAAGCTGACAGGTCCTTCCATTGTAAGGTTTTCACAACACAGACCATGTCTGCTCTTGTGTTTATACAGTGCTTAGAGGAATGGGGCAGACTCCCAGTTGGAACCTCTGGATGCTACTAATAACAAAACACATACACAAAAGGTGAGGTGAAAGAAGAGGAAATAATGAAATGTTCTTGCAGCTGCAACAAAGGATCACTAAGTGTGTTATTAACCAATACAGCTAATAGGATTTTTTCCCGTTTTTACTTTTTTGGGATCAGGGGTCTTCCAAATCTCTGATGAAGTTTCCCCCTTCTATGTACATTCAGCCTTATGCTCCTCAGTCTGCATCAAGGCCACCATCTTGGATGAGGAAGGCAGGAGCCTTCAGATGCTGACAATGCTGCTCCTTAAGCTTCAAATGAGAGAAAACGATCCATTTAGCAGCAGCTTCACAAAGTCACAGGTACAAGTAGTAGCTGAATAGGCCCAATAGACCTGGTTCCACTGACTTGAGTTTTACTCCATTGATTTCAATGCTTTGACACAACTCTGAAATGAGAATCGGGTCCAATATCTTTTATTTGCTTTCAGCCCACCATGGTGTTATGGACTGCTCTAGTTCTGTTTTTCTTCAGGTCATACGATAAAAGTTCATTCATTATGCTTGTGTTCTTTCCAGGCATGTGGCTATGGGCTGAAGAGTCTTCACTAAAATTCCCGTCTCCAATTTGCAGCTGTCTCAGTAATCCAGTCACGCATTTTGTTATAGTTTCTCCAGGCAGTGTGTACGGCATTCAAAGTGCAGGATAAACACAGTCGGACATTGATCCTGGGCAAATGAGTTGAGTGGATGATATGAACCTCAATTAATCAATACATTAAAGGAGGGTAATGTAATTAAAGCCAAGCAATATGGCTTTATAGGAAATAGATCCTGTCAAACTAACTCAGTATGTTTTTGGATGAGATTACAAGTTTGGTTGATAAAGGTAATAGTGTTAATGTCACATACTTAGACTTCTGTAAGGCATTTGACCTGGTACCACACGACATTGTGGTTAAAAAACTAGAATGATAGACAATTAACATGGCACATATTAAATGGATTAAAAGCTGGCTAACTGATAGGTCTCAAAATGTAATTGTAAATGGGAAGTTGTCATTGAACGGGTGTTTCTAGTGCGGTCCCACAGGGATTGGTTCTTGGCCTACGCTTTTTAACATTTTTGTCAATGACCTAGAAGAAAACATAAAATCATCACTGATAAAGTTTGCAGATGACACAAAAATTGGGGGAGTGGTAAGTAAGGAAGAGGACAGCTCACTGATACAGAGCAAACTGGGTTGCTTCATAAGCTGGGTGTAGGCACACAATATGTATTTTAATAAAATTACATGTAGCTATATACATATAATAGACTGTAGGTCTGGAAGGGACCTCAGTAGGTCATCTGATCATCTCCTGCACTGAGACAGGACTAAGTATTATCTCTCTAAGCCATCCTAGACAGATATTTATCTAACCTGTTCTTAAAAACCTCCAGTGATGGAGATTCCACAAGCTCCCTAGGAAATTATCAGAAGGGTAGCTGTGTTTGCTGCTTTTACAGATCCAGACTAAGAGTCCTGTGGCACCTTATAGACTAACAGATGTATTGGAGCATAAGCTTTCATGGGTGAATACTCAGAGTGGAAGAAAGACTTCTGTTTTACTTCCAACATTCCTGCTAATACATCCCAGAATTATGTTTGCTTTTTTTGCAACAGTATTACATTGTTGATTCATATTTAGTTTGTGAGCCACTATAACCCCTAGATCCTTTTCTGCAGTACTTCTTCCTAGGCAGTCATTTTTCATTTTGTACTTGTGCAATTAATTACTCCTTCTTAACTGTAGATCTTTGCATTTGTCCAAATTGAATTTTATCCTGTTTATTTCAGACCATTCCTCCAGTTTGTCAAGATCATTTTGAATTCTAATCCCTTCCTCCAAAGTGCTTGCAATCCCTCCCAACTTGGTATCATCCACAGACTTTATAAGTGTACTCTCCATGCCATTATCCAAATCATTTACAAAGATATTGAACAGAACCAGACCCAGGACAGGTCCCTGTGGGATCTCACTTCTCTTCCACTTTGATTGAAAACTACCGATAACTATTCTCTGAATAGGTTTTCCAACCAGTTGTTCACCCACCTTATAGTAGGTTCATCTAGGCTGTTTCTCTAGTTTTCTTATGAGAAGACCACGTGAGACAGTACCAAAAGCCTTACTAAAGTTGAGATATATCACATTTATTACTTCCCCCATCCACAAGTCCCCCTATCCCCTGTCAAAGAAGGATACAAGGTTGGTTTGACATGATTTGTTCTTGACAAATCCATGTTGACTTTTACTTTTCACCTTACTATTTTCTAGGTGCTTACAAACTGATTGTTTGATTATTTACTCCATTATCTTTCAAAGTACAGAGGTTAAGCTGACTGGTGAATAATTCCTTGTGTTGTCCTTATTCCCCTTTTTATATATAGGTATTATATTTGTCCTGTCCAGTTCTTGGGTACCGATCCTGTCCTCCACGAGTTCACAAAGATAATCGCTGATGGCTCAGAGATCTCTTCAGCCAGTTCCTTAAGTATTCTAGGATGTATTTAGTCAGGCCCTGCCAACCTGAAGACTAGTTCTTAAGTCCTTAAGTCCTAATTTGTCTAGTTCTTAAGTTGTTCTTTTCCTATTTTAGTCTCAGATCCTACCCCATTTACACTGAAGTTTGCTGTGTTAGTAATCTGACCACTGTTAACCTTTTTGGTAAAAACTGAAACAAAAAAGGCATTTAACATCTCGGTCATTGCTGCATTTTCTATTGTTGTATTTCCCCTTGAGTAATAGGCCTACCGTCTCCTTGGTCTTCCTCTTGCTCATGTATTTGTAGATTTTTTTTTACCCTTTATGTCCCTATTTAGTTTCATCTCATTTTGTGCCTTGACCGTTCTAATTGGCCATTTAGGAACAAAAAATGTAGGCCATACTTGCATGGGAAGCAGTGACTGAAAAAGATTTGGGGGGTCATGATGGATAATCAGCTGAACATGAGCTCCCAGTGCGACATTGTGGCCAAAAAGGTTAATACAATCCTTGGAAGCATAAACAGGGGAATATTGAGTAGGAGTAGAGAGGTTAATTTTACCTCTGTATTTGGCACTCATGCAACAAATGCTGGATTATTGCTTCCAGTTCTAGTGTTCACAATTCAAGAAGAATGTTGATTAAATTGGAGAGAGTTTGTAGAAGAGCCATCAGAATGGTTAAATGATTAGAAAGTATATTTTATAGTGATAGACTCAAGGAGCTCAATCTAAGTAGCTTAACAAAGAGACGGTTAAGGAGTGACTTAATTACCGTCTAAAAGTACCTACATGGGGAACAAATATTTGATAATGGGCTCTTCAGTCTAGCAGAGGAAGATATGACACCATCCAATGCTGGAAGTTAAAGCTAGACAAATTCAGACTGGAAATAAGGCATACATTTTTAACTGTGAGGGTGATTAACCCTTAGAACAATTTACCCAACATTGAGGTGGATTTTCCATCACTGCCAAATTTTAAACCAAGATTGGATGTTTTTCTAAAAGATCTGGTCTGGGAATTATTTTGGGGAAGTTATACTGTGCTTGTGGTGATTTGTTGTTGTTGTTGTTTTTTAGGAATAGCTGTGCTTCTGTTGTATTTTAATAATACAATTTACTATTACACTACAGCATAAAGAACAGGATTACAAGCAGGACTTGTCAGGCCTAGCAGATATCATTTATACTTTTATAGAGCTTAAGAAGCAGGAAACGTGATGTGCATTTAATCATTGACCATATTCAGAAATATGTTAGACTGACATCTTGTCCTTATCTTTAGTGTATTAGCTATCCCTCAAACCATTGGTTAGCCAGTAGCCAAACATGAAGTATCCAACATTCTCTTCAACTGATCTCTGGACACTAAATTTAGAACAGTTCAGCAGCAGGCAGATAAAACATGAAATATGAGCACAAGTGAAATTGCATTAACTTAGACGATACATACATGTATCTATACATGCTAATACTTAGTTATATGTTATTATATTATTATATATTATTACTTAATGTTAAGGGAAACAGACTAATTTTAAGAGAGGTATAAATATTTGCTTCATTTTGAATAAAAAGATCTCGCTAAACACTGTTACTATGTGCTTAATGGTGAGTTTTTGATGACAAGGGCTTGCTAATCTTAAAAACTTTAGCTCAATGGGCAGAGAGTAGACATAAAAACCATTGCTTCCTAAAGAAGAAAATTAATAACTTAAGAAAATGCAGAAGTACTTGTTCAAACTTGTGTGATTTTAGAGAAGGATGCATATAAATAGCAGTGACTGTTGTAATATATTTTAGGTGAAAATATAGTAATTTAAAATGGCTCTCTGTAGATCAAAGATACACATTTTTCTAACCAGGTTACTCCTTAATGAATTTAAGATGGCCCAGTGACATCATGATGTACTGTATTAATGATTAGTCTATATGCATTTTTTCCGCACAACAGCGTCATTCTTTTAAATAGGTTTATTCCCAGAGGGCAGTACTGTTCCCTGAAACTTAGGGCACAGAAAATATTTACTTAACCAACTTTTCACTTTGATAGGTACCAAGTGCCCCACTGTATTAGTATTTAATTTTTATTAGCTTTAAACCTTAGAAAAAATATAGGGAGACACTCTAAACCTAAGAAAACAAACCTTGTTATTTTTTGTGGCTATCAGAACATTACTTTCCCCTGGGAGACAAGTTGTGGGCTTATATTGTTATTCAGTAAAGCTGTGTCTTTAGACTCTGAATAGGTTCTCCCAAGCTCACTGCTCCCATATCATTTAGTGCCTATTTTAAGAAAGCTAGCAGCTCCACAGCTTTATTCCCTCCCAATCTAGGTTCGCTAGTCAGCCATTACTTACCTGTGATGACAGCCTCTGCTGTAGCCATGTGCATGAGGGTATTGTCACTCACTGGCCATTTGTCTCCAGACAGCACCAGGTTCTCAAGTCCTCCAATTTCCTTTAGTTCCTCTTGGATCTTTGCACCTAAAGCACTGTTTTCTCGGGTGAAATTTCGATAACCAAGAGCATCCCCTACCCCTGCCAGCAAGACAGCAGCCTTAAATTTCTCCATCACAAGGGACTTTGACACTTCTCACTTTCCTTTTGTCTAAAGCAGCCACTGAGTCTGGATCTTTCTTTGTTCCTTTGCCTTCAGCTGAGTTCAACTGACACTTTATATTAGACATTGTGTCACTGCACAGATCTCGCTGTATAAGGCAAGGCTTGCCTTTTCTGGCTTTGCAGGTGCCACCTCTTGTCCCAAATCCAATGAAGAGAAAATATTTCTTAATCCAAGTATATTTTACAAGGGGTTAGTTAATTGTAAAAACATGTGTGTACAACATGCAAGAAGTGAAATGCAAAGATCAAAATCATTCCTGCAATGCAGCATAAAGCAAGCCAGAAATACTTTGACGATCCACTTTAAGTAACTCTACACCCAGATAAACAAATCTGTGGTGGGGTGTTAATTTTTTTAATGGCTTGTAAATGAACATGTTTTTCTTTAGTTCTGTAATATTTTAGAATTAGTTTCTCTTTGTGGAACTGATTAAGAAACAGAAGCACAGTCTGCTGTTACAAAAGGATGTACAGAGCCCCTCAAATGCAATAGATTCAAGGTTGGAAAATTATGTAGAAAGAAAATAAAATTCAGTAGCGCTTTCACATTTCTAACTATATCCAATGGCAAAGTTTTATTATCTGGAGGCACAGCTGGGTTTGTTACTGAATTTAGACAGGTGACCCAGAAAACACTGGTCCAAATTAAGCTGCCTGATCCATTAAAAAAAAAACAACACACACACACACTTTTTTGCTCTTCCCCTTTACAGTAGGAATGATTAACTAATTCATTGTGTCCTTGGATAAAATCAAGTAAAATAATAATTTATACCACACTGTGGTCTGGGTCTTTGGATAAAAGCAAGCAAAATGACTTATATCACACCTACGAGTATTCTCCTCTCTAGAAAGGAATGTACTTTTCATACCAGCATGTCCACAGGCTGCATTTTAGATGTGACAGGAGATTAGCATCATATGTTTTGGAATGAATATTAAGTGATGATCATGGGGCCCTAGGAAAATTGTTTATCCAGAAAATGTCCAACTTGATGGATAATCTTATATTTTGATAAACACTCTTGTACTCAGTGTTTGGTTCACTCTGTGGCTATATATATATGACCAGCCCTTCTGTGGCATAATTTGGGGAGCGAGACTCCAGTCTTTGTACCCAATACCTTGCACCTGAGCACAACTATCCCTGTCCACTCTGTCTACACTGCAATGAAAAAACACAACACTGAGTCCCATCCCACAGCATGACAGCAGTCAGGAGGTCCACAGACTCAAAGAAGCCCAGGGACCCCTGCTTGTCATCCAGCTGGCCTCTGTCAATGTCCCTGTGGCCCCTGGCACAGCTACCCCTCCCTTAATAGTGGCTCATCCCCAGCACAGCACCACCCAGCTCAGAGGGCCCATCTTGTCCCCTGGCAATACTGAGCAGCGGAGGGAGCACAGCAGCTCCTGGTGGAGTGGGCAGAGGGAACACAAATACCATCTATTCAGGGTGAACCCTCAAGGAAGGGAGGATGGCAACCCCAGAGGTGGCAGTAATGGGGGAGGGTCATCTGTGGGAGTAGGATTGGGGACCCTAACAGCCATGCCACTGAGGCATTGGCAGCACCATACCAGATACAGGGGTTAAAGGGACAGGGTGACACTGGTCTGAGGTGCCATGATAGAGAAGAAGGAGAAGGGGGCACTGCAAGGGACTTGGCACCTAGATCAAGGCCTGCTGGCAGACAGTTGTCTTCCCCTGGGGCTACAGAGGTCAGACTCATGGCCTCAGATGGCCCCAAGGCCCTCCCCAACACCGCCAAGAAGGCATCCTCCCCATCAGCCACCAAGGTAAGCTCCACCTCAGCACTGACTGGAGGGCCAGGAGAAGAGCGACAGGAGCAGAGTCGTCCCCCCTCTGCTGCCAGAGCATCCCCGGTCAGCTCCTCCCGCTGGACCAAGGTGGCTCAGCAGTGCCCACCCCCAGATGCTGTGTGGGAGGCCTCTTTCCCCCCTTTCAGGTCACCAATGAGGTGCTGGGCTTACAGCTTACGTCTGTTGTGCTGACCACCCCACCCTCCATTACCAGTACCCAGTCCTCATTGGTATTGTCTGAGGGTGAGCCAGCAGGGGTAGGCTCAGCAGGCAGGACTGATAGGATGGGGATTAGAGGAAGCACAGATGGGACAACTGCATGAGGGACAGTCTCCACCTTGGATGGACCCACTCTCATGCTCCCTGACATTGCCTCAACTCCCCCGCCATGGACCCCACCCTGATGGCTGGCGGTGGCGCTGCCCCAGGAACCCGAGCGGGGTTGTTAGCTGGGGAGGAGCAGGGACCAGGTGGACAGAGTCACTGGTGCTGGCGGGGCTGGCACTCTCCCAGGACACAGGGAGTGCCTTGCACTGCTCCTTGCCAGACCAAGCAACAGTCCTTCTGGAGGTGCCTCAGAGCCTGCAAGAGGAAGCACCAAGCCTCCCAGGATGGACTTGATTTACATCACTAGTCAGGAAGACTCGATTTAATCATGGATTTCTACATAAAAGTGCATTCTTGTTAGTTGTTATAACCTTAATACATATCCTTCACAACTCAGAGATAGATGTAGGTTTCATTTTTAGAAGGTACACACTAGACATTTTTAAGTGATTTATTTAGAAAACTTTTCAGATTAGTTTTACAGCTATATCAGAAAATGAATGATTGTTTGGTTATTTCATTTACCAAAGGTAATTGAAGCAGATATTTATGAAGCCATTGGGAGGTGAACTATCTCCAATTCAACAGGTTAATCATTAACATTTGGAGGATTTTCTTGCCAAGCTGTATTAGGAGGAGAACATCACCAGACAGACATTTAAATTGTTTTATTTAACTAAAACAACAACGTTAAGTATTCTGGATTTTTTTCTTCAACAGCAAACATAGAATATTTCAACAAAACAAGCATATACATTTTCTAATTTAAATATTCAAGTTTTTTAAAATCAGGTTTGTTTTTGTTAAAATTGTTTTTAACTAAAATAGTTAAATGAAGTATTTAAAAAAGCAACAACAAAAATTAAATTGACTATGTCAGCCAGGTCAACATGAGAAACTTAAAATATTGGCTTTTGCTGCTAACTCAGTTCTGCTGCTAACTTCATCTTCCTGTTTGTTCATAATCTGGAAAAGAAAAACAAGCTTTCCTGCTTTTTCAGGTCCCAAACGATTTCTCAATTTGGAATGAATTAGTCCAAAGGAAGAAAATATTCTTTCGACACCGGCAGAAGAAGCTACTGCTGTTAAAAGGGGGATTATCACTTCAATAGTCTCTGAATTCAAGTGCTTAAGTGACTTCCACCAGTTCACTGGTGTGACTTTCTTTAAAACATCATCAGCAAACATATATTTCTTGAATGATGCACCCTTAGCTCTGAAGTTTATTATAATTGGCATTATGGAGGGATGATTGCTGGATGTCTATGTCATAGCCAATTCTTCCTTTTCAGCAGTTAAGGTTTGACCCTGGTACCGAGTATTGAGAATATTTAGAAGAAAATGAGCTGGAGACAGTTCTTGTCCCATTTGTTTTTTTAATGCTTATAATTTAACTCTGACATGGCATATTTCTCTTTTTAAGATCTCATTCAGTTCCTTCCAATTTCAACAGCGTCAGCAGTAAAACCGCTATTTCCCTGCATTTTGTTCAAGGCTACAGCAATAGGCTTCAGGGGACTCGGCATGTGTTCAACATTTCTCTTAGCCCAACGTTGAGAACTTTGGCTGTGACAGTGCCATCTATTTTTTCATGATTTTGTTCACAGACTGTTATCGGATTAGGTCAGTTCTTGAGATAGTGCTCAAAACCGGCCACTACTGAGATCCATCACACGTCTTGTGGGAGAGTTAGCTTGGTTCCTCCCACTTTTTTCAGATCAGCTGCTGCAAAGTGGTTGTTACGGAAGTATATTGCAATTTTAACAACATTAGCCTTTATTTCTGGAACACTGAAGTCTCTGGCTAGGAGGTGCATCAAATGAGCACTGCAACCGTATGTTATTACCTTGGGACTCTCTTCACTCTCTTCTAAATAATTTCTTCTCATCTTGGATACATTTGCAGCATTGTCTGTGACCAAGCTGCGTACTAGACATTTGGATTTTTTTCAGTTTGTTAAAACTTTTACTGCTACTTCTTTTAAGTATTTTGCTGTGTGTGCATTTCCTGATGTATCAATTGTTTCTGTAAGGAAGACATTCCCTTCTTCTGTTGTCACAGAAGCACATACAACGGGATCATTGTGGACATTGCTCCACCCATCAAGACTCAGGTAAACAATTTTACCCTCTAGACCAGGGGTGGCCAACCAGTGGCTCCGGAGCCACATGCAGCTCTTCAGAAGTTAATATGCGGCTCCTTGTATAGGCACCGACTCCACGGCTGGAGCTACAGGTGCCAACTTTCCAACATGCCAGGGGGTGCTCACTGCTCAACCCCTAGCTCTGCCACAGGCCTGCCCCCACTCCACCCCTTCCCTCCCCTGACCCTGCTGTGCCCTCGCTCATCCCCCACCCCCAGAGCCTCCTGCATGCCACGGAACAGCTGATTGGGAGGTGCGGGGAATGACAGGGAGGCACTGATCCGTTGGGCTGCCAGTGGGTGGGAGGCTCTAGGAGCGGGTGGTGCTGCTGACATATTACTGTGGCTGTTTGGAAATGGACATTGGTAAATTTTGGCTCCTTCTCAGGCTCAGGTTGGACATTCCTGCTCTAGACCTTTTGGACACTGCTCAATTTCTCTTTCATACACTTTATCCAGCAATTTGACTGCAACATCTGTGCTGTTGGGAGGACTGTATCCTGGTCTTAATGACTGAACCATGTTAATGAAGTGTGGGTTCCCAATCATATGGAAAGGAGAGTTTGTTCCATAAACAAACCGGGCAATTTTTTCATCAATCATCTCTTTTTGTAATCTGCTGGTTCTTATCACAAAACTTATCTGTGGTTGTTTCTGGATGATGGGGATTTTTTTTTCTTTTTGCTACAGGTGATATACTATGGCTATGTGACATACATGATGTGACTGAAACACTATCATTGGCAGATAACTCTGAAATTAGAGAAAATGATGGTGATCTTGAAGGTGAATAGTCTTCAGAATCCTATACGTCGAGGATGGATTCTCCTAAACAAAACAAGTCAATGCAGTTATTCAATTATTATTCCCATACTACTACTTTAGTATTACTCATTGCATTTACTGACACTCAGAACTACTTTAAAGATGAAATTGTAAAAGGAAGATCTGCCTATTTCAGCTATTTATTTTTTATCACAATTGCATCTAAAATGATAGTACCATAGAGTAACAAACTATTTTTTGCTCAAACGTGACAATTCAAGAATAATTCAGAAGCGAGATAGACAGTCCTTAAGAAAAAAGTACAAAATAAAAAAGTTTACCAAGCTGAAGATCCTGCATGTTCAGACATGTTCCTTTCACCATCTTCAATGCAACTTCCTCCTGAGAAGGAACATTTCTTATGACGTTGTTTCATTTGGGCAACCAGACCTTGCATTTCTTTGTTACACCGTTTGCATTTTGCACGCATGCCTGTCTTACCTACAGGTAGAGGAACTTCATTAAAATATTCCCAAACTGGGTCTCTTTTACAGCCTGCTGCCATTATAGGTTTTCCCTTCTAGTGAGAGAATGGTATGGTAGATCTCAAATCAATGAAGGATACACTCAGAAAGACCTCAAGACTTCTGGAACATGCTGCTCAAACAGTTTCACTTTTGTTTCTACTGCCTGTCCCTCCCTTCTCACATTTATCTCCAGACTTCTTCTCCTTGTCCGTGCCCCCAACAATCTTCTATTCATTGAACTTTTTGAAACTTTGCACTTTTAGAAAGAGGTAAGGGATTGACCCTGTGTACACAAATTTGCAGAGGGACAATAGGGTTGAGGTCTGTTATTTCTCACCTCTATATATTATTTATTATTTAAACAAATTTTTGCCGTTAAACAAACATGTTAGCTCTGGAGACACAAATCCACAGTCTGAGAACTGCAAAACTAAGCATCTCTGATGGTATCTTCTAGACTGAGCACTGAGTCCCATTGGATAAATAGATAGATTAACCTAAATAATCTATACAGAAGCCCCTGGAATACTATAAGATTGGGTCCCTAATCCATGAACTATTGGAACTCATTTACAAAACTTTTCTTAAATATTATATGAATATATTGTCTCATACTATAGAATTATAATTTATAATCCCTATTCCATGATGAGATATCTTTGAGCTATAATCTTTTCCTCAAAAAGCATTCTATCAAAAAATCCTATTTAAATAAAAAAAAATCTGATAAAAAAAAATCATTGATTTTTATCCACCCTGCAGCCTCCCCAGTGAATAATGCATATGACGAAAGGCCCTGAAAGGGCACCACAAAGGACCCTTCCAAGCTCCCCCTGCCATATGCCATCTCCAGCAGCTAGATGGTAACTTCCAGTGGAATGCGAGCACCTGAATGTGTGTGGGGCCTCTGAAGCCCCGTAGTAGACGGCTGATGGTTTCCCCAGGGACACAAAGGGAAGCAGATGAGCAGCACTGGGGCAGAACGGAAGTGAGAAACACCCATAGGCCTGTAAGGGCTTGAGGGGGATAAAAGACTCCCCCCCACCAACCAAAATGCCCATTTTCACCATGTTATAGTCAGACCCAGCAGCAAAAGAGGAGGGGAATTTCTTCCCCTTTTCCTGCCCTGCTCCTGCTTGCTGACTGAGGGGGTTCCACGGATAGTGATTTTGGCAGTGAAGTCCCTGCCTGTGCCTTCTGCTGCCAGAAGACATGATGGGGATGGCCGTGGGAGTGGATGAGGAAAAAGCTGAGGTGGGGCAATGACAGTGGCTGGGAATCCCCCTCCCTCAGTCTTCCCCCCATAGATGAAGCCTCTGGAGCATCTGCCATTGAGGGCAAGTGATAGGAACATATGGGGGGAGGGCGCAGGGGGGGAAGAGGATGTCAATAATAAAGGGACAAAGTGAATGAGAAGGCCGCTAACCACTCCTCCACACGAAGCCACATGGGAGCTGAAGGACACAAACACAAAATGGAGGAGTTAATCATGCAAATGAAGGGGAGAGGGGAATGCAGCAGTGTGCACGGCAAGGAAAATTGGCTTCTCCAGCTGCATTGGGAGTTTGGGGGTGTATATAAACGAGGAGAATGCACTGAGTGAGAATCAAAGTGCGGGGTGGGGGGAGGGAGAAGAACACACACGTGGGTACAAGTGGGTGCACAGGGCAAGTGGGATTGGGCGAGGCAGGCAAACAGCAAGGGGAGGTGGGCCGGGTGCAGCAGCAACAGGACTCAGAGGCCGGCAACAAATCACAGGGGAGAGGGAATCACAAGGGGGACCACCCAAGATGGGGGGAAGGAAGGAAAAGAAAGGGAAGGAGGGCCTACAAACCAGGGGGATAGAGTACTGCAGGGTGGGGGGAGGGGGGAAATCATACAAGTCAGGGAGGGGGCAGCAAACTGCAAAGGGGAAAAAAACCATGGGGTGGAGAGGAGAAGGGCAAACCACAAGGGGGAACCGTGCAGGAGTGAAGGGGGAAGGAAGGCAGCAAACTGCAAATGGGAACAATACGAAATGAAGGGGAAGGAGAGGCAGCAAACTGCAAAGGGTGAACAACATGAGATGGGGGCAGTAAACCGTAAGAGGGGGCTGGTGAGCAGGCTCTGTGTTGAGTGACTCCCTCCCACATGCCTTATCTGATTTTAAAAGCTTTGTGCAGGTCACTTTTAAGGGAGAGTCTTTTCCCACCATGGTGCTAGAGGTGAAACAAGTGGAAGCATGGATGGAGCATGGAATCACTCTTACATATTTACAGAGAAGGTGCAAGTAGCAGCTGGGGAAGGAGTCCACACATCAGTGTCTCATTCCCCGCCTCTCAGGAGGCTCTTGTACTGTTCCTGAGACATCCACTGTTCTCACTCCTTCAATAGTCTTCCTATTTAAAAAAAAAAGAGCATCTTGGTTTTCTCCTCACACCCTCATTTCACTATGAGCAAGAAGGGCTCCCATGGCAAAGGGGCAGCACGTGCTACTGCATTATTCTAGTCAGATTTCTATACCAGACCCATCTCCCTAGTATTCTAGTGTTGCCTTAGCACCAGCTTTAATAGAGTGTCCACCCTAACTTTGATGCTACAGGCACTTGATTACATTTTCTACCTTGCTCCAAGACTGCTTCAGTGACAAAGAAAAACTACCTGGTTTACTTATTAAAACCATGGAGCTCCATATTCCCATTGTCATAAGTTACATAATTTCTTTAAAAAAGCAAGGTGTCTGCCACCTCCCATTAGTGCACTTTTCATATTAAAAACCATAGCATAACATGTCCACATGATTTAAGGCTAGATATATGTGAGATCAATAAAAAGAGATAGGGGCCTAGAACTGCTCCCTAAGGAGTACAGGTGGTGTGCTGGAAAGAATGCCATTGGAAATCAAGATCTATGAGCGGATAGAGAATTGAGGCGGAAGGAGTTGATGCTAGGAAGTTTATTTGGGAGTTTGCAGCCTGGACCTGAGACAGATGTTTGGTCAACTACATTGTACCTTAATGATTCCATCACTGCAGTTAAACAGCGCAAGAAGGATTTCTAAACTTTTTGAAATATAAGACTGCCCAGCTAAGCAAAATGGACAATTTTCTTTTAAGCTTAAATACTAAAAACCTCATTTTTGTTAGATCTTTGTAATCTGCTGAATGACTTAATAAGAATGCAAGGATCTAACAAATACGCTGAACTGTAAAACCACAAGATTTCCAAATGAGAAAAGAGACGAAAACCAAACACCAAACAATTTATTGTTTTTGATGCATTATATTGAAAGTCTATTTATTCTTTTTCCATTATCACAAAATTTACAGATGTACAGCTTACTTAGCAGCAAGACTCTCATGAGGTGCATTGCATGAGTGAATGCCTGCAGGCTTGTTCTCCTTAACATGACACATGATAAATCACATTGTTTTAGAACTATCAAGTACAAACTCCATGATTAATTTAAGATATTCTAACAAGTCAAACCAAACAAATTGGCACCAACTTTAAAAAAAATACACAGTGTGTCTAGGCACTAATATTGTATGCAGTGAACAACCTGATGACAGATTTTTGTATAATTTTTCTGTTATAAACAGGTCAGCTTAGATGTTATCAATATACCGTTTTACCTAAATGCCAAATCATAGCTAGTCCCCTTTGAATAAGTTTGAACAAAGGACAAAAGCAACCAGTAAAGTAAAGTAATTATGTGAAAGCAAGATATTTATATTTAATATGTCTCTGGCTTAACAGCCAAGAGGTATTGTTCTGTGCTATTATGTAAGAGGATCTAGGCTAAATTCCAGACACAGCCTCAGAGGTGCAGAAGACCAGTAGCAACAAGGAAGTGGGATACTCCACCTAAGCAATAATGAAGTGCCTACTGGCCAGCTAATTTCACAAACTGCACTGTGGAACTCCTGTCCAGTCTTCCTTACATGGAATCTGTTTTCCAGAAAGAGCCCTAATAGAAGTAAGGCTTAAAAGTGGGTGGATAAAGGTGCGTGTGTCCAGGGAAACTATAGATCCTCTGGAGCACTGAGCACCCCCTTCCTCTCAGAGTCAGAAGAGAGCAGACAAGCCCAACCTGGTTGCAAGACTCAGCTGAATGATAACCTCTGTATTTTTAAAATGTTTTCCTTTAATACAGATGAATTTTATATAGTACATAAATTTAAAAAAAGAGGAAGGGGTGTCAATTAGATTGATTCTAGCAAGTGTTCAGCATAACCAAATGTTTCACAAGCTCTCCTGTAATGGAAGCTACCCAGTTGCCTATAACAGAACTATAGATTAACGCAATTCATGCTTAGTTTGTAATGTACATAACTATATTTCAGGTCAACATTGTTTGATAAAGGACTATGCTATTGCATTTGGTTGGATAAATATAGTTGAGGATATTGGAAAGTGTTAAACATTTCATATCTAATGGCTACAGACTATTCACCTATTTGGTTTTGTAAAAACAATGCAATCCTTTTGCTTTTCTTGCTTTAGCTGCATTTGATTTCTGTAGAATAATTTAAATTATGCATACAAATGTATTTCTAAGCAGAAGCTTCAGAGGTTAGTTAAAGTAAAATAGTTTTATTTCTTAGTTACTATAAATATTATATACTAATTGCCCATATAGATAGGAGAAAGTTGTCTAAGGACAGAGATACTGACATCTAGTGGATAAACTGTCAAGCAAGATGTGTTTACAAATGCTCAATACGGGTAGAACTAGACTAAGAACAATAAAAAAAAGCGCCAATGGTTTAGTTAGAACACTTCTGCTATGGAACTTATTACAGGACATTTCAGGATTCAGACAAATACAGATTCCCATCCTCACTTTTTACCAGCATGCACAATTTAAATTCATACAAGTGGAAGAAAGAATGGGGTAATATTTCCCTTGTCAACATGATATTTATGGAGAGATGCTTTATTATTGGAGGTTGTCTTGACATATTAGAAGTCAAGTACTTATTAACAAGTCAAAATGTTGAGTTTTTTTTAAATATGATGAGTCCTGCAGATCTTCATGACTGATGAAGCAAAATGGTACAACAGGTTATGAAATGTTTACATTATTGATATAGAATATGATCTAAAGATCAATCAATCAATAAATTACATAGCTCAGAAGATTAGCTAATGCCTTTAAGGGTCTTGTGACAATTCAACTCTGACTAAAGGAAAGATCAATCATAAGTAACTTACAGCTCTTTGCTTTAACAAAAACTTTTACAATGATGACGACATACTCAGCAGGATGAGGTAGTGTTTACAAGAGCCCTGTATGTTAAAGTAATATGTTGAATACTTTCCAATGAAACCTCTCTATCATATGCACTTTTTGTGCTTATGGATAGGAAGACACTGTTGAGAAAGACAAGATTAATTCCTTGTGCTAAACCACAGCGGTCACCTGCGGAAAGGTACAGATCATAGGAAAACAGAGATGATTGACCAGATTCAGACTTGGTATAAACAGATGCAACTCCACTGAAGTCAGTGATATTGCATGGACTTACACCATAAGAAGATGTTAGTCACCCTGTGGAGTAACTATGCTTCTTTGAGACATGCATCCCAATGGGTGCTCCATTTCAGGTGCTCATGCTCCTCTTGAGCCCTGGATCCGACATTTTCCATTATCATGGTCCATTTGGCCTATGAATGTGTCTTATGTATCCTTGCACCTCGCACTGAGGCTATGTAGGGCTGTGTGAATCCCTCGGTTCCTTCTCCATCCAAATGTTGCACAGAGAACAGTCTGAAGCAGAGGGGAAGGAGGGCAGGTAGTGGAGCACACAGAGCAACACACATTTCAGAGAACCACAGTTACTGCACAGGGTGAGTAACCTCTTCTTCTTCGAGTAGTGTCCCTATGGGTGCTGCGCTTCTTGTGGAGATACTACTTGGGAGTCACCTGGAGCAGGGAGCTTCAGAATTGAGTCCAGAACTGAAGACAGGACCACAGTACCAAGTGCTGCTCCTGAACTGGAGGCATGGAACAAGACTTCGTGTTGTATGTACTAAACGTATGTACTGAAGATACTGGAATGTTTTTGAGTCATGCCCTGGATGTTGTGATCTGGTAGAATGTGCAGTCACCGGGGGGGTGAGGGAGGAAGGATTTGAGTACCAGCTGCACCATAACAAGTGACAATACACACGGAGATCCACCTCGACAATCTCTTGGCAGAAGTCATGGACCGCAATGGAAACAAACAGTCTGGGTGACTTCTGAAATTGATTGGTCCTGTCTAGATAGAAGGGCATTGTCATCCTAATCTCTAAGGTATGAAAAGAACTCTTCTGTTGAGACTTTTGTGGTTTTGGAAAAAGCCAGAAGATAACTGGACTGGTTAAGATGAAATTCTGATAGTACCTTAGGTAAGAACTTATGGTGTGGATGTAAAGAGACCTTGTCCTTGAATAACTCCATAAAGTGGGAAGGAGGGTCTGCCATCAAGGCCCCAATTTCTCTGTCCATACCGGCCAACATAATAGCTACTAAACAGGCAGTCCTCCCTGGATAAGTGAAGCAAAGAGCAGATTGTCCTTGGTTTGAATGGAGGTCTTGAGAGACATCTAAGTACAAAGTTGAAGTTCCCAGTTGGAGTGGGGTCCCTAACTTGGGGAAGAGTTTTCCCAAAACCTTAATAAATCTAAAGACACGGGGTGAGCAAATACAGAAACTCCTTCTACTGTAGGATGAAAAGCTGATATTGCAGCCAAATAAACCTTAAATCAAGCTAACTGATAAAGAAATCAAACTTAAGTCCAACAGGTAGTCCAAAATAGCTGAAAGCAACAAGGATTCAGACACGAGTCAGTGGCGCCGACGCCAATGGCTGACTCTATTCCACTTCTGCAGGTTAATAATTTGGGTTGACTGCTTTCTACTATTCAGTAACATTTATTGTAGTTCCACAGAACAGGTAGATTCTAATCACACGAACCATTAAGGAACCATGCCCTGAGATGGAGGATCCGTAAGTTGGGATGAAGTAAATGACCCTTGTCTGGGGAGAGGAGATGAGGAATGATAAGAAGTTTGGTTGCTGTGTGGATGTACAGCTGAAACAGCTAAGGATACCAAGTTTATCTCGGCCTGGTCGGTACTATAAGCATAACGCTGACCGTATCATGTCTGATCCTGTTCATTAGTCTCCGTATTCGCACTGTTGGAGGAAATGCATAGAATAGACTCTTCGTGCAAGATAGGAGAAAGTCCCAGAGACTGATAGCTTAGACACCCTCTTGAGAAAAAACATACAATACTTCTTGTTAGCTTTGGTGTACTGAACTCCAGGGAGGTAAACGGTTGAAATTTGGATCTGATGGGCTGTACAACAGTTCCACAGCTTTATTGCTTCAGTGCACAAGGAGTGGGATCTTGCTCTCCCCCTTGTTTGTTGACATAGAACAGGCAGGCCAAATTGTCTGTCATGATCTTAATGCATTTGCCCTGATGACGGGTAGGAAATGAAGACAAGCATTCCTGATTGCCCTGAGTTCCAACAGGTTGATGTGGAGACTGGTTTCCCTCTGCCCTGAGCTGTGATGGCACTGTGGTGAGCTCCCCATTCCAGCAAAGACGTATCTGTTGTCACAATTATTGTTGGAGTTGGGTGAACAACAGGAGTGCCTACATAAACGTTGAGTTGATCTTTTCACCAGTCTAGGGACTTCTTTACATGGAGAGGGACTGTGACCTGCTTGTCCAAACTGTGTCTGGTTTGTGAACAGAATGTTCTGAGCCAGCCCTGGGAGCAGCAGTCATAGTCTTGTATGATTGGTCATGAAGGCACAAGCTGCCATATGACCCAGAAGCTGTAGACAGTTTCTTTCTGAGGATTAAAGTCTCCCTTCAATGGTCCTGATTAGATGTAATAAAGTTAAGAATCTTTCCATGGGAAGGTATGCTATGGCTGTCATTGAATTCAAATATACTGTATGAACTGTATTCTCTGTACAGGGATCAGTGTGGATTTTCTTACATTGAGCTGAAGACCCAATTCCTGGAAAAGAGAGAGTGATGTCTGAGCAGATGACAGCACTACTTGGTAAGACTGACCCTTGAGCAGCCAGTTGTTGAGGTATGGGAAAACTAAAATCGCTTCTTGACGAAGATAAACAGCCACTACCGCAAGGACCTTTGAGAACACCCGTAGGATCAAGGAAAGGCCAGAGGGAAGTATTCTGTATTAAAAATGTTCCTGGGCTATAGTAGAACGTAGATATTTTCTGTTAAATGGGTGTCTCACTATATGGAAGTTGGTTTTCAGCCCTGGACCTACAAGACACCTCTCCGCTGCCTCTGATATACGGATTATATCAGAGTCAGAGTCGCCATCCTGAATTTATGAGACTTTACAAACTTGTTTAATAGCCTAAGATCCAAAATCTGGTCTCCACCCTCCATCCTTCTTTGGCACAAGGAAATATCTCAGATAGAATCCCCTATCCCTGTGAGGAGCAGGGACTGGCTCTATTGCTCTTAATTGAAAGAGAATCTATTTCTTGCTTCAGTAAAGGCTTGAGAGAGAGAGGGAGGGATGGATAAAAAATGGACAGGGTAGCCTGATGTTATGACCTTTATGACCCACTTGGCTGTAGTGATCCACCTCCAAGCATGCTGGAAAGGGAAAAGCAGTCTTCAAAAAGGGAGAGATGGGCAAAGGGTTACAAGCTGCTGAATCAGAGGTGTGGGAGGATTCAAACCCTTGACCAACTGGTCAAAATTGTTGTTTCAATGATGATTTGGAACTTTTGCAAGAAGGAGGAGCTGCTTTTTTTCTCTGGAACATATGCCTCTTCATGGGGGGTTTGGTGCATCCAGAGATCTTAAAACGGCCATGGAGTCTGTCAATGTGTGAAGAGACTCATCTGTGGTTTCTGCAAACAGCTTTCAACCATCAAAGGGGAGACATTCAACAGTGTTCTGAACCTCTCTCGGAAACCCTGAGAGTTGGAGCCATGGCACCCTGGGCATAACTACTACCACACAGATGGAGCTGGCATTGGTGTATGTAGCATCCAAGAACGCTTGAGAAGTTCTAGCTAATAACTGACCCCCGGCAATAATGGCATGAAATTGGTTCCTCTGTTCCTGTAGAAAATCAATAAAAAGATTGTAAATGCATGAGTTTGTGAAATTATTATTTGGCCATAACTGCCTGATAGTTTGCGATCTGAAACTGCAGAGTTGAGGAAGAATAGGACTTCCATCCAAAGAGGTCTAAATGCTTTTGGCCCTTGTCATATGGGGTAGACTGAGTAGTGTTGCTTACCCAACTCATTTACCACATCCACCACCAGAGAATTAGGTAAATGATTCGAGAATAAAAATTCAGAATCCTTTTATCCACCTGTTTTCAAGTTAGTGGAATGTTACAAGATGTTTGTCAAACTGTCTTTGCTCGGTCCAGGAACACCTCATTAATGAGTAGTGCAACTCTAGTGAGTGTTGCAGATTGCAAAAGGTCAAGCAATTTGTGTTGCAAATCCTTGACCTCTTTGAGTGGTATCTGAAGAGTACTGGCTACTCACTTTATAAGGTCCTGAAATTGCAGGAAATCATCAACCATCGATGGTGGTGGAGGTATAACTGCCACATCTGGAGATGATAAAGAGATAGGAGTGAGGGCTGGCTTCTTCATCTGCCCTAGACTTCTGTTCTTCAAACGTTTCCTTGTATTGGGGACCTGGTTGGGGAGTAGAGGATTGAACATCTCTAACCTTCCAATGTGTCAGAACTGGTTTCTGACAAGTTGCTATCAGTACTCAGCCCAGGGATCCCAGTATGGCCATTGGGAGGAACCAAATGGGAGAGAAAGTGGCATCTAGGGTTGGTCCCACCATCCTTGGTGTCAAGCCTGAGGATCTTCCCTATGGGAGTCAAATAACAGATTTCTATGTGGATGTGCAAGAGAACCCTGGATGAGATTGAAGGAAGTCTTCCTCCTCCTTGGGTATCCTCCAATGGCGGAGCACAAGTGGAAAAGGGTGGAGAGTCCAGCAGTACCAGAGAGCGATGGTAGTCCAGAGACTGGGCTCTTGATACCAAGAAGCATTTAGTACCCATGAGCAGTAGAGATTCTGGTCCATCAGCCATTGATAAGTCATTTGAGTATCTGAATTCCTGTGGTACCAAGCGAAGGATCGGTACCGCCATGGTAGTGTGCTTGGCAATGGAAGCAGACAGTACTATAGATTTTGAGCATACCAAAGTAGGTACCGGTGGTGTCACACACTTCGGTTGTGTGATGTTGAGTTGTCCCAACTGGGGAGGTGCCAACGATAAAGCCATGCTCAGTGGTAATGGGCTGGAGAAGCCCTTATCCTTGTCCTCCTTGTCCCCTATAGTCAGTACCAGGGCTCTGTCAGAACTCTGGGACTATTTGGACTCACTGGTATTGGAGGAGTCTTTCACCTCTATGGTCTGAAGCAGAGAGGTTGAGGCTTCTGATACCATGGACTTAGTGGGGGACCAAGATCTTTTGAGAACAGTCTCCTTATGATGGGATCCAGTGCTCCTCTTTTTGGGAGACTTCACTGTGGCCTCACAAGTCTTCCCCTTACTAGAGGAGATCTGGGCTGAGGTCAAAGGGGCACTGGATCTGTTCGGAGACAGATGTCCAAAGCAGGGATATCCTGACATGACTCTCTAAAGCAGGTCGAAGGGAGTGCTCCATCAGCAGCTGCCTCAACTTGATCTCCTGGTTCTTCCTTGCCCTGGATTTAAGGGCCAGGCAGAAGTCTCCTTCTAGTAGACATGCGACTCTCCCAAGCGGTGGACTTAAGAGTGGCTGCCGCTGACTGGGAGATGTTTGAATCCTGTAGAGCTAAGTACACCACGCCAGGAGAGAAAGGCTTCCCAGAGGGAGGGAGAGGCAAAAAGTTAATCCTCACGCTACTTATCTACTAACAACTATTTAATGCTAACACTAAACTATAAACAAGAAGTTAGCCAAGGCACGTTCCAGGCAGACGCATTAGGGGTCTAGCTGAGGCCAAGGAGGAACTGAGAACGAACTGAGGGTGGATTGCCTGCACAACCCTATGTAGCCTTGGTGTGAGGTTTAAAGATATTTAGGATGCTTGTGTGGGCCAAATGAACATGGCTAATGGAAAATCTCTGATCAAGGGTTTAAGGCACATTCGCACCTGAAGTGGAGCACCCACAGGGACACTATTCAAAGAAGAACTATTATTTGTTTTACAGAATATTTAGAACAAGAAGCAAGAGGCTTCATAATGTAGAGAAAAAAAATCACCCCCCGCCAAAGGTTTTTGAGAAGGGGAGTTAAGATATACTGTCCATAGTGTGGTTGTGTGTGTTTATTTTCCCCCTTCCTTTTTGGGGTTGAGATCATATCAGGAACTGCATGCACAGAATATTGCATTTAAATGGAACCTAGCTATTTTACCGTAAATTGAAGGCTACTAAAATCCTCAAATCCCACCAATTCATTATTTACAAAAAAGTAAATGGAAAATGTAAAGATGAAGAAAAACTGAATTATGTTTATCTATCAATTATGAATTATAAAAATGTGTCTTTGGTTGTTTTAGGGTCTATTTAAAAAAGACTAATCAATCAACAGTGTAAATAATCATATTCAAACCATTCTTGGAGTCAAAACAATGTAGAGCAGTCCTTGTGCAGCAATGCTATTGATAGCTAACATAACCACACACACATCAGGTGAACACTGTGATGAAGAAGTTGATCTTACAAGGGGAAAAAAACAGTCATGGTCTGTACATTTCTGAGAGCGTAAAAATATAAATCTAGAATCCTGGCACCAAGAAAAAAGTGTCAGTAAGTGTTTTGTTACAAGTTTATATTAGGGCAGATACTTACACAGAGCTGACTTGTATAAAAATACACCATACTACATAAGTTTTATTTAGGGATTTAATTTATATACCACAAATACTGCTTTTAATATAAGTACAATATAATACAGTTTTAATTATGTAACTGCTGGTGTTCATCTTGGATCATGAACTGAATGGCATGCCGTGCTGTCAAAACTTTAAAATGGCTTCTAGTTAAACTTCTCCAAAGTATAAAATCATGCAAAATCTACAACCAGCACAATAATTGAAGCCAATATCCTATGAACAGCCTGGGCTATCTTGAGTTTCTTCTTGCTGTGTCCATGAGTCAGCCATCATTTTCTTTAGGCAGAAAGGCGCAATTTCAAGTTTTGTCAGTGGCATCTTGCCACGACTATTAAAACCAGTGACGGTGTGCAGTTATTGGAGAAAAGGTCTTCATTACCTGATAGAGTTCAGACTGCAAACTTAGTCCATTTGGAAGTGTCTGTGGTTAGGAGGTTTTACGCTTTACTCCTGTGACTACTGGTCGTGCATATTCCACAAAATCATCTATGAGAACAGGCCATGCTCCTAAAGAGAAGTCAAACATGTAAAAAGTCATAAAACTTAAAATAAATCTATTTAGTTTTTAAACACAAGGGATATCAACTTCGCAGCATGACCTATATCTTAGTCATTGGACTGGATATAACAAGGTGATGGCATGGGCAATCTGCACAAAGAAAACGTGCCTAACTAATAAAAGAAAACATTAAAGCATGTTCTCTCTGAGCTATACTTCATAGCGAAAACTATTTGCAAGTTGTATCATAATTCATATTATGAGATGTTTATAATAAACTTGAGTTCAAAGCAAGATCATGGTACTCCTATTAGAGACATTCATATAATGGGAACTATTCACATGCATAAAGATACTCAACATGTGTACATGTTTGTAGATTTGGGACCACAGCATAACATATGTTCGTGAGAATATCAAAATGCAGAAAGATATTTGTCCTTAATATTTTTTTACTAGAGGAGATAATGTTTAGTTTTTATTATTAGACATTTACATCGATTATGAACTAATGAATATTTTCATAAACTTAATTTTCACTTCCAGACTTCTATATGCTATTAAAAAGCTATTTTTGTGTAGATATTTTTCTAAGTTTGGTAGCCTTAGAATCATAGAATCATAGAATATCAGGGTTGGAAGGGACCTCAGGAGGTCATCTAGTCCAACCCCGCGCTCAAAGCAGGACCAATCCCCAATTTTTGCCCCAGATCCCTAAACAGCCCCCTCAAGGATTGAACTCACAACCCTGGGTTTAGCAGGCCAATGCTCAAACCACTGAGCTATCCCTCCCCCCCCCAGCTTAGCTTACTTAAATTAGCTTAATTTAAAGCTAATAAAGATTTTTGTATGAAAATACACAGTATTATTTTGGCTCCTGTAACATAACATGTTAGATAGCACATACTGTACCAATGCAGTCCAGGACTGCTTACCTTCATCTGCATATTAAAGCAAGATCCTGTTCAGCCTACTTACAGGCAACATTCTCGGCAGCAAATATGATCTAGTATATTTGTAGCTCTGCTCCCGATAGTAGACATTTTAAAACATTGGGTGTAAATTGTGTTTTGGCGTTTATTCACAGCATTATTTCAATTTTGCTAAATCCAATTTTTAAAAATATTAAAATTCATATTAATTACCTTCTTCATCATAGTTTGACATATCATCTGCAATCATATTTCCAAAGTCTAACAGAAGATTCCAAGTATCTTTTGGGATTGATCTTTTATGGTGTTCCTATGTAATATGGAAACAAATTATATTGTTTAAGATACAAGTTATTTTCAAATTCTGCAGTTACCTTAAATCCAGATTTCACTAAAAAAAAAAAACAAAAACTTACATTGTTATATACTAACACCATCTTGTAGAATCCTCTTTACTAACACTGAAAGCTTTCTAAGAAAGCTACTAAATAAAATATTTCTAAAAAAGGTAACTGTATAGAGCACATTTAATAGTACTGATTTATTTCTCCTGATCCACTCACATCAATTAATTATTATTATTATTATTTTTAGAACAGTGACCGTTAGGATCAAGCACTCAGACAAGCAACCAGCCAAAGTCCAGATCCCTACTCCCCATTTGCAATTCTGGTTGCTTCAGCAGGAGATCAGACTATATTTCCTAACTTCCTCCCCAATTTGGAAAGCTGCAAGATCAGCTCCACTTCTGCCCAGCAGGGGAAAAATAGTGTCACCAGATGGCATGAGGAATCAAAAAACTGGTATGTGGGTGGGTGGGTACAGAGGGTACAGGCTGAGACAGGCATAAGGTTGCTGGAGAGAGGCCAGGATATTGTGGATGAAAACAGTTAATGGCAAAGGGGAGAAACCCATTCACGGGTGGGCAGCAGGCTAGATATACCACCAAAAAAAACTAGGGAGGTGCTATAATGGAACCAAAACAAACCTCTGGTGCTTCCATATGTATGTGAGCCCCTATTAGATCATAAGCATTTCAAAAAATACTACCCCTTTCCACTGCCTCACACAGCTTTTAGTGGAGTAGCAGCAGCAGCAGAGAAATATCTATAACAAATATGTTTTAAAAACAAGAGTATTCTTCGGGTTTTGCACTGGGACTCACAGGTCAGAGCACCTCAAGATTTAAGCCAGCAGTCCCCAGATTTTTGAGGGCCATGCTGCCTCTGCCCCCGGAGCCGGGCATGGCTGGGGGAATGGGGGGAGAGACGAAGCAGACATGGGTAAGGGGGCCAAGAGCGGGGCCAGGGACCGAACTGCCGCTCAGCTCCTGGCCCCGCTTCTGGCCCCAGCCTCGGCCCCAGGCGGGAATGGAGCCGTGGCCAGGGGCTAAGGCTGGGGTGGGAGCAGAGCCGCCGCCAGGCCCACAGCCAGGCGCAAAGCTGCACCGAGGCTGGGGATGGGGCCACGGTTGGGGGCAGGACTGGAACAGAGCTGGGGGCAGGGAGGGACTGGGTGGCGCTCCCTCCCTGCCCCTTCGGGGGCTGGCCTGGATCCGCCGCGTGCCCCCCACCCCCAAAAGACCCGCCGTGCCCCCCTAGGGGAGCAGGCCCTGTCCCAGGCACAGTAAAATTGCTCCCCCGGGTAAGCACCAGCATTGTATATTGCTAGCACCTATATACACATATGCATGGGAAAGGATTTTGGGAGGGGTTGAAGGTGTGAGTGTGGAGCAAAAGATTCCTTTGCAGGTTGCGAGAGGCCAAAGGGGGAGGAAGGGAGAAAGGAACGGGTTAACTCAACGATCCAGCTAGGTCTGAAAATAAGAAGCTGACTCCAGCTGCCCAAGGCCAATGCACACAAGCAGACTCTCTAATGCCAAGAAAGACGGGAGCCTGGATTCCAACCCCAACCAGCCGTGAGAAAAGAGAAGTAAGCTGAACAAGACTGCAGGGGATTGCAAAAACTAGTGAGACGGTGAAGGCCAGCGAGGGGGAAAAACAACGGTTTTGCGTCCCTGAAGCTGAGGAAGCCACAGAAAGCCAGTTTGGACTGGTACAAAAAGCACGGGGGATAGAGGTCCCTTAACGAAATGCCCCTGGAAGAACCCAGGACTTAAAAATCCTCTCAAGAGTCAAAGCAAGTCAGAGATCAACAGCGGATCCTGGACGGCCTGTGCACAGGACAGAATTCTCGTCCACCCTTCCCCCTCTTCTTCTTATGTTACACCCAGGCTTGGCCAGCCTTGGGTTGAGCGTGTGTGAGTATGAAAGTGGGTTAGGGCACGGGCACTAACACTTTCTTCCTTCCTTTGAGTGACGGGGGGGAGCCCCCGCGCTCACTGCTGTTATTTTATTAATAATGTGACAGATTTATGTTACCAATATGCCTGAGGCATCAGGTGATTAGGCTGAGGCCGCAGGATCATTAGGGGAGGAGATGAAGGAGCACACCAAGTGACTAAGTTTTAAAGTTTTATTAATAAAATAACAGCAGCTTTCCTGCGCTGTTGATCGGAGAACTTTGGTAGCAGTCGTCCCAGCCACGCATGCGCTGCTCCCTGCCTGCCACAAGGCTAGCCAGTGTGCACAGGCAATCCTTCCTCAGTTCCTTCTCTACTGCACAGTCAGCAACTAGAACTCTGAAGTAGAGGGGAGGAGGGTGGTTCGTGGAGCACCCACAGAGAGACACATCATTATTGCACAAGGTGAGTAATCTTCTCTTCAGGTAATGTCCCTATGTGTGCTCCACTGTAAGTGACTCCCGAACAGTGCCCACCACTGGAGGCTGGGACTTTGGAGTTGAGTCTGATATGGATGATAGTACTGTGGCACTGAATTTGGCATCTGCAGCCAAATCCCCCAGGATGGCACAGTATTCTGCAAAGGTATGTTCAGATGCCCAGGTAGCTGCTCTGCAGATTTCTGATATAGGGATACCCTTGGAGAACGTGATGGAGGAGACCGACCTCCTAGGATGCGTCTGTATTAAAGACAGGGGTATTACATTACACAATCGGTAACAGAGTTTAATACAGTCTGAGACACACTTGGAGAGTCTCTGAGCTGAAATCACTGTACCTTTTGACCTATTTGCAATGCTAGATGAGCCTTTAGTGAACTGATAGAGCCCTGACGTCTTGAGAGTCAACAGGTAGTCTAGGATCACCGGTAGGGTGGATGTATTAGGGATGAAACCTTTGGGCTGGAATCAGATTTGGAATCTCTTCCATTTTTGTAGATAGGTACAGTGAGTAGCTCCTTTCCTACTATGGAATAACACCTCCTGTACCTCCTCAGAGCAAGATGTCTCTATGTGAAAGACCCAGGCTTTGAGATGTAAAATCTGCACGTCAGGATGCAAAATACACCTCTCATTCTGCGACAGACAGTAAGGAGTGACTGGAAGAATCATCGGTGGACTTAGTGTCAGCTGTGACAGGTAAGGGTACCACATCTGTCTGGGCCAGGTGGGAGCAGTCAGTATGATGTTCACTCTCTCTCTTTTCACTGTCAATATTAGTATTTCAGTATTAGAGGGAATGGGGGAAAGGTGTAAAGAAGGCCCTTGTCCAATGGAGGGACGAGGGCATCTCCCATGGAGTGTTGTCCGATCTCCGGTCTGGAGCAGTACTGTGGTCATTTCTTGTTCTGGTAAGTAGTGAACAGCTCTAACATCAGTGTCCCCCATTGTTGGAATATGTTATGGAGTACCACCAAATCTATCTCCCATTTGTGGTCATGTGGGAATTGGTGGCTGAGACTGTCCCCCATTGTGTTGTGAATTGCCAGTAAGTAGGCCACTGATATTAAGATATTGTGGGAGATGCACCAGTTCCATAGTTTTAGTGCTTCTACACACAGGGAATGAGACCTGGTACTTCCCTGATCGTTTATGTAATACATACAGGCCATATTGTCCATCATGACTCTTGTGTGCGTATCTTTGACCGTGGGAGGAAGTGAGTGCACACGTTTCTGACCTCTCTGAGTTCTAGTAGGTTGAGGTGAAGACATCTCTCGGCTGGAAACTATTTGTCCTGTATTGTGCGACCACTGAGATGTGCACCCCATCCTCTGAGGGATGCATCGGTGGTCAGAAGCAGAGATGGGGAAGACCGAACAAATGGGATTCCTGTATAGACGTTCACTGGGTCCTTCCACCACTCCAAGGATTGCTTGCCCCTGGTGGGCATCAGTAGCAGTTTCCTTATGTTGTCTGTTCAGCCTGTAAACCAAACCAAACCAAACCATTCTTGGAGGCATTTCATGCGTAGTCTGGCACGAGCTATAACCGATGTGCCCATAGCCATGTGTCCCAAGAGTTGGAGGCACTGTCTGGCTGAAATATGGGGACTGGATTGTACTGTCTCCATCAACGAGGAGAGACGAAGAAATCTGTAATGTGGGATGAGTGCCTTCGCCTGAATGGAGCTGAGGTCGGCTCCTATGAATTCTAGCCTCTGTTCTGGTGTTAATGTCAATTTTTGTTCATTGATCTGTAGGCCCAGATTCTGAAACAGATCCAGTGTGGTCTGAGTGACTTGCTGGGCTTTTGCGAAGGACCATGCCCTTAAAAGGCAATCGTCCATGTCGGGATAAATCATGAAGTCTTGAGAGCATAAGTGGGCCGCCACCACCGAGAGGACTTTGGGAGAATACTCTGGGGGTCAAGGAGAGGCCAAAGGGGAGTTCTCTGTATTGGTAGTGGTCTTGGTCCAGCGCGAACCTGAGGTAACGTCTGTGGCTCGGTATAACTGAGATATGAAAATAAGCATCTTGGAGGTTGAGGGCTGAGAACTAGTCTTCTTTTTCTAACGCTGGAATGATTGTAGATAATATGACCATCTTGAACTTCTGAGCCCTGATAAACTTGTTGAGCACTCTGAGGTCCAATATAGGTCTTCAACCCCCTTTTTTCCTCCAGTATCAGGGAGTAATGAGAATAGAAGCCTCTGTCCCTTAGATGTGCGGGCACTGGCTCTATGGCTCATATGCTGAGAAGGTGGTTTATCTCCTAGGCAGCAGGCTCTTGTGATAGGGGTCCTTGAAGAGGGACTGGGAAAGATATTTGGGATGGGGGAGAAATGGATGGAGTATCCATCTCGGATGATCTCCAACACGCATTTGTCAAAGGTTATCCATTCCCAGTGCTGTGGAACGGGGTGAGACTATCTCTGAACGGATGGGTGGGGTTTTCCAGTATGAAATGAGAAGAGTGTTCTACAGGTACCTCGACCATCCCGTCAAAGCTATCTCTTTGAGGTGGAGGGCTAAGAGGAAGTTTGCTGAGATCCCGATGTCTTTCATCTGGAGAACCTGGGCTTCTTCCTCTGAGGTTCATACAATCTCTGTGTATATTGAGATGGAAACTAGGATGAGTATTGAGAGGAGTATTGTGAGCAGCGCTTGAGTGGTCACTGAGTGCTGTGCCTTCTTTTGTACCCAGGTGTATAGATACCGGGGATCGAAGAGGGGCCCTCGAATCTTTTAGTGTGTGGAGGGAGGAAACAGTCTTTTCAGCAAATAATTTCATCCCCTCAAAGGGAAGGTCCTTCACCATCATTTGGACCTCCTTGGGGAAGCCAAACAATGAAGCCAGGAGGCCCGTCACATCACAATGGCATTTGAAATAGAACATGCTGCCGTGTCAGCTGCATCAAGTGCAGACTGGAGAGACCTTTTTGCCACCAGCTGGCCTTCATTAATCCAGGCTTTAAATTGGTCCTTGTGAGAATTGGGGAGGTGTTCAATAAGAGAACTAAGCTTAACATACTTCTGATAGTTGTGTTTAGCCCACAAGGCTTGATAGTTCGCCATTATGAATTGGAGGGTGGCCGAGGAGTAGGTCCAGGTGCTTCCAATCCCAGTCATAAGTGGTGGACTTAAAGTGGTGTTGGTGGCTTCAAGAGTAAACCTCATCCACAATGATTGAATTGGGAGGCAGGTGTGAGAACAGGAACTCCATGTTCTTTGCTGGCACATGTCTTCTCCTCCCTCTTATAAGTTGGTGGGATGGATGTGGGGGTCTGCCACATCACCCTGACGGGATCCAGTAGAGCCTTATTAATAGGGAGGGCCACTCTGGAGGAGGTGGAGAAATGCAGAATTTCCACCAGTTTGTAATTTGACTCAGACACCTCTTGTAAAAATATTTGGAGTGTCTCTGCCATCCTCTGTGCCAAGCCCAAGAACAGTTTAAAGTCATCCTCTATACATGGCGGAGGAGGCATCACCATCTCATCTGATGGTAATGACAAGAAGTGGGCTGAAGAAATGACTTCCTCCTCAACTTTGGCCTCCGGTTCCTCTCTTGCCTGTTCAGGGAGTTCAGAGGTCCTTGAGGCAATGGCTGAAGGAGGGTACTTCCTTGGCTGTGGGTAGGCCACACTAGCAGTGATGGAGGCCTGTTACCTTTGGGCCTGCCAGGGGTCCCAGTACAGCCATTGAGATGGGAAGGGGCTCAGTGATTGGTACCATAGTTGCCCAAACCAGGGAGGCTGCAGGTCAGAGGGGTGATATGCCCAGTGTCCATAATGAAACTGGGCTCCATATGGTGGGTGAGAAGAGTGAGGGAAGCTGGCTCACATTCTGATTCTGACAACCAAAAGAGCAGTGTGTGGCAGGAGGTCATCAGTGAGTCAAGGGCTCTGTGTGAATTTGGTACCGGGCCCCCATTACTGAGCAGAGGAGAGTCCAGTGTGTTGGACACTAAAAGATCCGTCATGCACCGGAAATCTGTCAGCGTGGAGGGCATTGGTACTGGCAGAGGCTGTTGGTGCCAAAGACGCTTGCACCTACAGTGTCGGAGATGCAGATCTGACAGCAGAGTCCGTCACTGCCTGGTGTATCGCCAGCGGTAGTGATGTTGATGACCACACAGATGGAGCCTTCCCCGGGGCAGATATTCTACGTTTCTCATGTACCCCTGGTATTGATGGTTCTTTCCTTGTGCCCATCGAGTCTTCAGGCATTCCAACTTGCCCTGTCAGTTCGGTAAAGCACATGCCCTGGATACCAGATTTCAGTGGCTTTGGTGCTGTTAGTACTGATTATACTGATTGAGCCGAGGATTGTTTTTCGCTTCATTGGGGCTTGCTATGGGGAGGCACGGACCTTTTCTTAGATGCCTTATGTGAGTGGCTCACAGGTGTCTCTCTGAGTTTACCTCCTTTCAGAGTGGAGGGCTGTGGCGAGGGCTCCCACGAGGACCCCGGAGGTTGAAGGGCTGACTCCACAAGTAGGAGTCTGAGCCTCAGTTTTCTCTCCTTCCTGGATCTGGGCTTCAGTTGCTTACACAGGCCACACTTCTATTTCTCTCCCACCTAGCAGATGCACTGCGAGTGTCTGTCAGTCACTGGGATAGATTCCTTGCAAAGGCTTCCTTTTTGAAGCCCGGAGAGCCAGGCATATCCCTGTGGGGTGAGGGGGATCCCATCACAGGGAGTTGATGAAGTCCCTTTCTTTTCTTCTTTCTTTTTTTAAAGGCAACAGCCAAAATAAAATGTAAACAAAGCAAAGAAAGATAAAAGGGGCTTCAAAAGAAGCTAAAATTAACAATTCTAAGAGAACTAACGACCTGCAAATGGACAGCTCTAGCTCAGTCTCTAGCCAGGGGCAGTTGAGAAGGAACTGAGGAGGGATTGCCTGCCCATGGCTAGCCTTGTTCCCCACCAGCCAGTATGCATGCATGGGCAGGACTACCACCAAAGTTCTCCGATCAACAGCGCAGAGATGCAGATACATGTATAGTGGAGCACCCATACGGACAATACTCGAAGAAGAACCATATGTGCCTGAGGATAGACAGGATGAGGGCTCAATCTAAATTTAGGGTGTCAGATTGTATCTTCAGCCTTTACAAGTAGAGGGCACAAGGTCAAGTGGTTCCCAGACTAGGGAGGCCTGCTCCTTAAGGGCCAAGAGGCCTGTTCAATCAGCTCCCCCCATCCCTTTGCCATAATTAGCTACCTCCCAGAGTAAGGCGGCTGAACTAATTGGAGTCATTTGACAGACTGATAAATATCAGGACCCCATAAAAGGGCAGAGAGAACTCAGTTTGAAGGAAGAACTACAAGAAGCAAGTTGGTCTCCTGTGTAAGACCCTAAAGTAGATTCTGGTAGGACTCCAGGGAAGAAGGGTCAGATCTATATCCCAGAGCATAGAAGAGGGAAAGGTGGCCCAAAGGGGCTGAGAGTCATAAGAAACACCCTGGGAGTCAACACTCTATCCCAGAGCAAAGAGATGTAAAGGGAGCCCAGAAGTTGTTATGAAGAGGAGCTCTGAGCCACATGAATTCCTGGGAGACAGAAAACCTTAGTAAGGGGAAACTGAGCCAGTGTGTTTGCAGCATCATGCTCAGCTAGCGGGGGCGTGGGGTGGTGCTGCGAAGCAGGCATACCTCATGGGACTGCCTCTAGGTACCATTTCACTTTCCCCAGTGAGAGAAATTATAGAGAGGATTCATTTAGGGTCCATTAACAATGTTCCGGATCAGTTCTCATAAAGCAAAGATGCTGAAAAGGAAACTGCTGTCATTCACTGTACTCTCATCTTTTTTTTTTTGGTGTGCGCGCGCAGTGGGAACACAATCTTACAAGCTGTGGGGTTCACCTTACTATTGTGCATTAACACATACAGGAATAGAAAAATATACTTACCAACAAAAATTTATTCCAAAGATCTAAAAATTTAAACCTTCCCGATAAGACTAAATTCCAATATGCAATTGCCATTTCTAAATCTGCAAAAAACAAGACAAAAATCACATATTACAGTGCTTTATACACAGTTTTGATTTTACCCATACATCTCACTATACAAATTTATTGGCCAGTTTTTAAACCTCTTTTTATGATGAATGGTCTTCAGACCCAGTTAAAAAGCTGCCTGCATGTTGAGATGTAGAAGCCTAGGATATGTCTCCATGGTACACAGCGACAAAGATATATTTGTTAAGTGTAGATCTGGAGTGCTCAACTGTTAAACAGGTCATACTACTGCGTGCGACTTTGCTCAATTTCCTTTAACTTGTAACGAAAGCCTTTTCAAAAACTCACATTTTGAAGTACTGGTTCACTGTGAAGTTATATATTATCAAAGCAGCCTGGTTTGATTACCACTGAAGATAGCAATTCAACAGTAATAATGGCATATGGAACAATGTAGGCATAAAAGGAATCACAATTACATACAGAGAAGGATAAAAGACGGAACAAAACATTGAAGCTATTATTGAGCACGCTAATGTATCTTTACCTATATAGCTAGCACTCAGTGATTATCAGTAATCCTGGCTAAACCCCAGTTTATAAAAAGTATTGATATAGTATCCATCTAGACATGCATAAAGCAATTCACATGAAGAAAATGGTATTGACTTAACATTAATGTTTGGATTTAAATCCACAAAAATCAAGATATTCAGCTTGAAAGATGCTGGATGCCTTGTCTCCTTGCCCATTTTGTGTGTTAGATTGGCATTTCTTAGGGCTTTTAAGAAAAAAAAAAAAAAAAAAAAAGCTTTCAGTCATCTGGAGCACAATATTTCTGCAGCAACCCTCATGACAGTATAGCTTTTCTACAAGTCACTTATAACAAGAAGGCCTATGCCCAATATTAAAGACCTATGCCACAATTTATCAAAAGCAACTAATGATTTTGGGTGCCTCACTTTTGGAGTACTCAACTTGAGATACCTTCAAAGTTGGGTATAAATGTTTTAAGGTATTTGGGTACCCAAAAAAGGTGAGGTATCTAAAATAAAAGAACGCTTTTGAAATTCTGGGCTGTGGACTACAGTAGTTAGTTGCTTAAGTGAATCATGGTAAGAATAAAACAAATTTTAATATCATGGATACTAGAGTTCAGAATTTAGCAAAGTAACCACAGTGTTAAATGAGTGATAGTCCTTTGCTTAGTTCACTGGGGGTGGGGGGATGACACATTCAGATGGAACCTGAACAGGGGATTTTTGGATCCCAAAGTAGTTCTGCTTGTTAAGTTAAGAGACATTTCACTAACTTTTATTAGTAGTAGTGCAGTCTTTTCAAATATCTACTGTGAGAGAGATTAGTTTTAATAATGAATTACAGCGTACTTGTCCAGGAGTCCTAGTCCATAAGGAATTATCCAGAAGTTCTGACTGAAAACATAGGTTTATGATAGACGTGTCACCTTGCCCACACCCCTCTATTCTACAGTATACTTAATCCTTTTCTTTTTGCGGATACAGACTAACACAGCTGCTACTCTGAAATATGCATGTGTGTGTATATTAATAGACAAACAACTGCATTAAAGTTGTGAAGTGAAGCTGTCAGGGTTCCCTCCCCACTCTGAACTCTAGGGTACAGATGTGAGGACCCACATGAAAGACCCCCCTAAGCTTATCTCTACCAGCTTAGGTTAAAAACTTCCCCAAGGCACAAATTCTTCCTTGTCCTTGGAACAGTATCGCTGCCACCACCAAGTGAACTAGAGAAAGATTTAGGAAAAGGACCACTTGGAGTTCCTGTTTCCCCAAAATATCCCCCCAAGCCCCTTCACCCCCTTTCCTGGGGAGACTTGAGAGTAAACAAGGTGAGCACAGACCAGGCCCTTGGGTTTTCAGGACACTAAAAACCCATCAGGTTCTTAAAAACAGAACTTTATTATAAAGAAAAAGTAAAAGAAGCACCTCTGTGAAATCAGGATGGAATGTAATTTTACAGGGTAATCAGATTCAAAACACAGAGGAGTCCCCTCTAGGCAAAACTTTAAAGTTACAAAAAAAACCCCACCAGGAATAAACCTCCCTCTTAGCCTCGGGAAAATTCACAAGCTAAAATAAAAGATAATCTAAAGCATTTCCTTCCTATTACTTAAAATTTGTAATTTTAGATGCTTAGTTCAGGTATGGCTTTAGGAGATGTATTTTCCCTGCCCTGGTTCCTTGCTGTCCCGGAGAGAACACAAAGAAACACAGAACAAAAACCTTCCCCCACAAATCTGAAAGTATCTTCTCCTCTTATTGGTCCTTTTGGTCAGGTGCCAACCAAGTTATCTGAGCTTCTTAACCCTTTACAGGTAAAGGAGGGATTTTATGCTACTGTTAGCTGTATGTTTATGACAGAAGCATTAAAAGGTCAGAAATTGACAAAGATAAAGGTGCCCGACCACCTTCATCTCTGTCCTCTTGACTGTATGAATAACAGTTAGATTATATCATCATACACTGTTTTCTGCAAGATTCCTGCCTTGTTCAGTGCAGTAGAAGACTAGTGCTCAACGAATTAAACAGCTGGTTTAGTATTTTTTGCCATCCTTACTGTTATTATCCCCCATTTTCAAACCTGGAACTACTATATTTCCAGATAGAAAAATCTGTGGCAGAGCCCGTATTTCCTACATCTCAGTCCAGTGCTCTGATCACAAAGCTATTCTTCCTCTTCCAGCAGACTCCTCTCATTTGCTACACATCATGCTATGACAATCACTAAAGCTGAGGTGCTATAGACCCAAGGCCCATACACCAAAGAATCCTGCTTAGTTATCTGACATACACAATGAATGAGTACAGGGACCTGTGCGAGGAGGTGGCAGGAGAGAAAGTTTGTCATAAAAAACTATTGTCATACATTCATAAGAGGAGACTAAGTTAAGACTGAGCTGGTTCAGCCTATAACTCTGACTGGCTTTAGAGAAGAAAAAAAAAAAGTCTTGCTAGGTAAGGTGCCTTCTTTTCCCAAGGCATTTTGTTTGCAACATAACATATTGAATATCTTATGTTCTTTAGAGATTAAGGTAACATTTAATAAAACAAAAGTTTTAAAGAAAAAGCATAAACTCTGATAGAGCATTTCCAACCTTTGCCGTGTGATGATCTGGCACTCATCTCCTCATTTTATGGACATGATGGTCCACAATCATGCAATACATGAACTTATTGTAAGAAAAAATATGAATGTGTTTAAAATGCACCAAGACAGACATTTATTTGGAAAGAGTTAACATATAATATAGTCAGAACAAAAATTACATTAGTACATGCAAGGGGATATTATACACAACTATTTTATTCCACTACTCATGTATACTTAATGTTGAATGAATAGAGATGGAAACAGGAAGGAACTAATGTGAACAACATTATAGTTTCAATGATTCATTATGAGTTGACTGGTTTTGGCAATGGTCACTCAGCTCATAATTATGAAATGTTATCCCATCTAACATAGAGAAATCAACCTTCCAACACCACCATATGACATTTTACATTGAAATGCACATTGTAGGAAAGCACTACTTTTATGAGACAAAAGTTTTAAAATATTAAATACACCTATTACGAAGGAAGGGGTGCAAAGGAAGTTAAAAGGACGCAGGGGTAGAAGTTCTTTGTGATTTTATTTATTATAGCATCTATATTTAAATAGAATGTCTCATTTATGAATATGTTTATTGTTAATTAAAGTGAACCTGATTATTTCAAGATTGTATTTAGTTTAATATGGTGAAAATAAAGCTTTGGGGAATGTTAAATGTTATTCTAACATTAATACTATACTTTGAGGGGAATTCTCTGTGTGTATGTGGCAAGCAATCTCTTGCAAAGTAGGCAACAAAAATATAGGACAGGCTTGATATAACAATGTACAATAAGCATACTTCTCATGCAGAAGGTTGAACTACACATTCATATTTCTAAATTCTCTTTTATGTAGTGATTTCTGAGACAGATAGCAAAGAGAAAAATTCATAATGGGTAGTAAAGTTAGCATTAATGATTATCAGGGGTGTTGTATGTAAGACACAGAGGCAGTTGTCCCACTCCACTAGGCACTGGTGATGCCTCAACTGGAGTACTGTATCCAGTTCTGGGCACCACCCATTAGGAAAGATGTGGACAGATTAGAAAAAGAGTCCAGAGGAGAGCAACAAAAATGATAAAAGATTTAGAAACCCTGACCTATCAGGAAAGGTTAAAAAAACTGGGCATATTTAGTCTTGAGAAAAGACGACTGAGAACTCATCACAGTCTTCAAATATGCTAAGGGTTGTTATAAAGAGAATGGTGATTAATTGTTTTCCATGTTCACTGAAGATAGGACAAGAAGTAGCTGGCTTAATCTCCAGCAAGGGAGATTTAGGTTAGATATTAGGAAAATATAAAAAAGGGTAGTTAAACTCTGGAATAGACTTCCAGGTGAGGTTGTATAATCCTCATCATTGGAAGTTTTTAACAACAGTAAGAATAAGCAACTGTCAGGGATGATCTAGGTTTACTTGGCCCTGCCACAGTGCAGGGGGCTGGACTTGATGACTTCTCAAGGTCCCTTCCAGCCCTACATTTCTAAGATTCCTCAGCCCTAACACTGCAAAAATCAAGCTCTCCAAAAGTCATAACATTCCAAAAGTTAAGTTTGTTCCTGCAGTGTTAACTGGTCACATTGCATATCCTATACATTTTATGCTATATAGTAATAATTACATTAAAATTACATTAAGAGAGAACATAGGACTAGAAAATATACTATGCATGGAGAGATCTAAAAAATCAAATTCATGGGGGAGAAATGTAAATCTTAGGACTTTCCTCACTTAAATGTCTGATTTTTCAAACTTAATGTTGCATTAATGCTTTTTTTTTTTTTTTTTTGGCATTTAATCTACTCTTTCCCCCACACACCTAAAAAAAAAAAGGTAGAAGTCAGATATGAAGTTATTTGGGAATTTTACATTCTTCCAGCCTCATCAGAGCTT